AAGATGAATAAGACTCAGGTGTAGAACAGCTAAGACGCTTGGGATTTCAGACAGACCTGACATTTGAACCTGGCCTCAACCTCCTAACTCTACCACTTACTAGATTTTTGGCTAAGTTATTCACTGATTTATTCAAAACTCACTATAGCTCAAGCATGTTACTTGGATCTGAGTTTTAAGGAAAGAGTGTGACACAGTGCCTTTCCTTAAACCTCTTGAACTGCAGCAGAGGGTAACAGGCACGGAATGAAGCCTTGATAATTAAGTGATCAGTGTGGTTCTAGATGTCTGTGAAGTCGTGTGGGGGACAAATGAGTCCCTTCTACCTGGGAATGGCAGATGGCAGAGGTCAGGAAAGCTTTCACAGGGACATGGCCCTCGAGTCCATATAGTCATCCTCCGAATCAGGTGATTGTGAGAAAGAATAAGACATTCTATCTTGTGTGAGCCTTGGGGCCTAAAACAGCTTGGGAAGAAATGAAAATGGTTCAGGGTGGCTGAAGTGAGAGAGCTGTAAGTCAGGCAAAGTAATACCTACTTCCCTTGTGAAAGGATTGAATATATACAGCGTTAAGCACAATGCCAGAGACATACTAGGTGCTCAATAAATGTTCCTGGTCCTTCTTCAGTTTTTCCATTTATTATACGCCTTCCAGCTTGAAATTCCATGACTTACCACATTGTATGTGTTATTGTATGTTGGTTCATACACTATTTAGCATATTGTATAAATAAATAGTCTCTATCACAGATGACAGAAATGTGGGTAAAATAAGAAGTGAATTTTGATAACGGATTGATGCAAAAGCTGACTTTAGCTTCAACCCTTTCTTTCTCTGTGTTCCTCTATAGTAGCTTAAAGAGTGTTGCTTGAGTAAATCTGAATATTGTGCAAATGCAGAGATTCAGCATCAGTTCAATATATGGGGACAGGATTCAGTATCTGTCCATAGGAATTGCCCACCTGCTTCCAAACCCAGAAGAGCAGTTTTTCTGTTTCCAGAAGTTTTGATGATCATAACATCAACCATACTGTCAGGAGGAGATTTGAAGGCAACATCTCATCATTGCACAACCTTAGAGACCATGATTTTTGTCCAGAACTTAGTCAACTCTACCTCAATACACAATCTTTTCTCTCTGCCTCTATTATGGCTGTGTACATGTCTCCCCCACCCTCCAAGAGGGTAAACTCTGAAATCTTGACTTTATTCAACTTTGCATCATCTAGTTACTCCCCCAATACACAGTGCTTTACCCACTGGAGATGTTCAGCGGATACTTGTTAACTTTTCAGTATACCTAGTTAATCAGAAATTGTCACTTATTATAGCAGGGTTACTTGAACCTAAGTAGCACACTCTGGTTAAGTGAGTGATATGGCCCGAGGGCATAGGAGGGTATCTTATCACCTTAGACTGTAGCAATCACATTGTTTATTGTGTATTTTCAAGGAGAGTCTCCATGGTGTGGTGATTAAGAGCATGAGCTATAAAGCCATACTACCTGGTTTTGAAATCTGTTACTAGTCACAAGACAGACTTTGAATGTGTTAACAGATCTCTCTGTGAATTAGTATTCTCTTCTGCAAAGTAGTAGTAATTTGAAGTGTTATTTCATTGTGTTATGAGGAATTACTGAGTTAATATATGCACTTTTAAATAACACTGGTACATTGCAAGTGCCCAATAAGAGTTGTTATTTTATGCTCTGCTAAGTTTTATATGAATGTAACTGGGAGCAGGGTAGTAGCTCGGCCACAGGAGCAAAATACAAAGCCTAACAAGGAGAGGGAGGGCAGGAACATATCCAGACATGTGACTGTAATCCATTTCGAGGACAAATGCTTCCTGGGGCAGCAAGATATTCCTGACATGAGGTTTGAGCCTGAAGTGCAGTCTATCTGGAGGACTGCTCCCCCACCCCCTCCCCAATTCAATGGGGTCAGGGATCAAAGTACCTCTCTTGGTTGTACAGTTGCCTACTTCTTGCAGTCTTTTTAAAAAGCATGGTAAAAGTTATAGGAAAAATCCTATCACAGAAAAATAATTTATGTCACATGAGTCATTTCTCTTATTAAGAATATTCTTGAGCATCTTCGTATTTTAAGCTATGAGAGTGATCTTTCTTACATGCATATATACATATTTTACAGGTATATTGACGTTGAATAGTCTTAACAGAGGATTTAAATATTACTGATACTTTAAAAGAATTGCTTTTTAAATGGATATACCCATGTGCATGTGCACATGCACATAGTCATGTCGACTGTTTGGACCCTATGGACTGTACCCCACCAGGCTCCTCTTTCTATGGGATTTTCCAGGCAAGAATACTGGAGTGGGGTGCTATTTCCTTCTCCAATATATATATGCATATGTTCTTTTAAAGGACTTTAGGACTACCTCTTTTGGAAAGCAAAGATACAGGCATAGGTATAAAGTAATTGTAGGCAGGGAGGCTAATTTTTCCTGCTAGTAAAACATAATGAGGCTAATAATGATTGAAGACACATCATCAAAGGAAAACATTGACTCGGGAGGAAAAATGATCAATCAGGCTTTGGAAGAGATGACTTATAAAAGTAATTAAGGCACTGGTATGAATAAGCCTTTTGGGATGAGCACACTTTGTTCATGCCAGTCTTTCTTCACATATGTCTTTGAGAGCCACCTTAGTGCAAAGAAGAGGAGAATCAAAGTAACAAGAAGCATTATAACTTTCCAGTAGAAGACCAAATATAACAATAATCTCCCCCACTGCCATCCATTGTCAAATTCCTTCCCATTTGAGGATCTCAGGATGCTTCATTTGGTTACAATGATTTGTTGACTTTATAGGTATACTGTGACATGAAACCTTGCAAGCTGAAACAACCTGCTTTTTAAAAAAGTCTGTTACGTGGCTAGTTTCCAACTATTTTCATTGCAGTACAACTAAAGACATTTGAAAGATTGACATACATATCAGAGAAACCTGAAATGTAATTCTTTACTTTTATTAAACTATACCTGTGTTAAGACACCTCAATGACAGTGGGTTAGCATGGTCAGAATGTATGTTACCCACAGTTTTTTTTTCCTAGAGATTTTCCAACAGGAAGCCCAAGTGAAAGGAGTGCAAAACTAAGACTAGAATTCTCACTATAGTTTTTCCACTGATGAGTACCTCATTTTCTGCCTACACATTGGTTTAAGGACACTCAATTTTAACTTACAGAGTTGCCAGAAGGATACAATCTGACAGTTAATATCAACATCTTTTGGTAGTGTTTGTAAATGTTGGCATCCTTATTAGTAACACAATGTCTTTAAATTCTTATTTGTCACAGAATATTGTGGAGTAAACAGAGAAGATCAAACAATATTCCTATTTTTTATTATGTGCTTGGTGAAAAGTTAAAGAATACATTGCTTAGTGTTACCCATAATTTTTGAGATGGGGCCTATTCTTTAATTATCAACTTCCATGTCAGAAGTCACATTATTTGGGTAGACAGAAGTGATTTCTTTTTTTTTTAAACCACAGTAATTGTGGTAAATTGGCTCCCAAACTGATCACAGGAGACTTCACTTACTCTTGTATGGTCATCAGGTGAAGCTGTATTAGGCCCAAACTTTGCATGTTAGGCTGACTGCATTTTGCCATTGTACAAAATGACTAAATCTCTCAGTTATTCGACTTGAAAAACTATAATTCGAATATGGTAGGAATGAGACTCCACAGTGAATCCCCACAGTTAGGAGAATGATCTGCTTATTTCTAAATGGAAATCCCCCATTGTCACACCACATCAATGATCTGCATATAAATCTGACTTCCATACAGCTGGAATGTGCTTCAAAGGTCACATCTCTAGATGAAGAATCTTAGTGGGTTATGCAGTAAAAATGTCCCAAATCCAGAGCACTGTGTTGGCAGAAATAGTTTCTCTCGAAATAGCAGAAGAGAAGAAAAAAAAAAAAAGATTTTAAGCCCCAAAACTTTTGCCTAAGTACATTTCCTAACGTTTCTGCCTGTATCTCATTAAAAAGCTGGATTAAGAAATGGGGGGCGGGGCGCGGTGGGGATAGAACCACAATACCCACTTTCACAGAAGGTGTACATTGGTATCGTGCAGGCACAATTTATTTGGCCTACATTTAAGACTTGGGAAATGCCGTATTAGGGGGGAAAAAAAATTTAGATGTCTGCTTTACAAATGGAACGTTTGGCCACAGTGGGCCTGTATTCATATAGGGTGGTGGTGGCGGGGGTGGGGATGGATGGGAAGCAGGCTTGGTTTGAGAATGAGCTCTGCGATTTCCCATTCCTTACCATTCTGAACGTCTTACACCAACGTTCACTTTGCCTGCCTCACGCCGCAGGCACTGAGATTCCTGCAGTTTATGAAATGGATGCAACGGGTCTTTTTTTTTTTTTTTTTTAATGGGCAAATCTCTTTATTAAGGGGCGGGGGGCCAATGACTGGTTTTGCTTGCAAACAGTCCTAAATCTGCCGTTTTTCAACGATCTGAGCCTAACCTACTTTTCCCGAACGGCCCGAGGTATGAAACCAACTGTCCAAGGATGGCCCTTGCACTTGCAGCTCCGTCACAAGCCAGCCATGTGACCTTGGGCAAGTCCGTTAAACTCTCTTGCCCGAAGGTGATGAAAGGTCTTGAAACGGGCTGAATACCTCTTCTGAATACTTCGCAGGGTTGTTGCAGAGCACACACCAGATTCTGAAAGTACTCCTAAGTCATTTATAAACCGCAAAACGCTCTCAGCACAAGCGGCTGTTACCCAGACTGCGACACCACGGCTTTAGAAGTTATGTTACTGAAATCCGCTCGACTTCTGTGCTGCTCCCACCTCCCACGCTCGGGGTGGGCGAGCGGAAGAAGATTCTCAGGGGAGAACTTCTGGAAAAACGACTTAGAAATGCAGGGAGAAAAGTCCCTTCGCAGGGACGAAGTTGTTGGCGGCATTTTTAAGCCCCCGAGTGACATACCAACCTCCAGCGGCGATGGTAGACCTCGCCGCACAGCCAGAGCCAAAACCGGTCCCCTGACCACCTCCCTGCTCGAAGCCGGGACCCCAGGAATCAGGCCTGAATCCTCCCGGCCGGGACCCCAGACCCGGGATTCTGGAGCTCGCCCTCGTCCCCAACCCCCACTATCGCCTCCTCGTCCTCCCCCCTCCACGTGACAAGAGCCGGAACCGTCACTTCCGGCGGCGCAGGCAACGCGCCTGCGCGGGGCGCCTTGCTTCAGTGAGCGGTTGGCAGGGGCGCCGCGCCGCCAACGGCCGCGAGTGGCGGGCGGCGCGGGTTCGGCCGGGGCGGCGGCGGTGCGGTCCAGCGGGTGTGAGGCCTGAGTGGTCCAGCCCACTCCTCGGAGGGACCGGCCGCCCCGCCCCCTTGGCCCTCTCCCCCGCTGGCGCCCTCCTCCGGGGTTCGCGCTCCGGGCGCCTAGCGCGGCGGCGAGGGCGCCCGAGGCACTGGCGGAGGCGGCCGCGTCGCTCCCGCACTCGGGCCCGCCCCCTCGAGCCCCGCCCCGTCCCCGCCCTCCTCGCCGCCCTCTGCGGGAGCCCGGCAGCTGCAGCGGAGCCGCGGAGCGGGCGGCGGGGCCGGGGCAGTGCGCTCGGGGCGCGCGGAATGTGAGGCTCGGCGGGCCGCAGCGCGCACGGACGCTCGGACAGGCGAGGGGCGGTGACCCCTCGCGGACGCCCCGGCCGCGCGCGCCGGGCCGGGCACTCGCCCTCTCGCTCGCCCTTACGCGCGCCCCGCGCCCTCCAGCGCGCCGGCGGGACCATGAAGAAGTTCTCTCGAATGCCCAAGTCGGAGGGCGGCGGCGGCGGCGGAGCGGTGGGCGGCGGGGCCGGCGGGGCCGGCGCCGGTAGCTCGTCCGTGGGGGTCCGGGTGTTCGCGGTCGGCCGCTACCAGGTCACCCTGGAGGAGTCGCTGGCCGAAGGTACGGGCGCCCGGGGAGGCTCGGGCAGGCAGGTGAGGGAGGGCTGGGGTGTGGCGGTAGCTTCTCCCGTTCTCTCCCGCTTCTTTCTGCGCCCTCGCGGCTCACTCTTCTTTCCTGCTTCCTCGGCCAGGCCGGCGGGGGCTCGCGCCTAAGTCGGCTTTTCTGGCCGCCGGCAGCTCTGACCCGTGCACAGTACTTTCAGTCCGAGTTGTCATTTTCACTCCCTCTTGAGGCTGGGAGATAAATAGGAAACATCTTAGCGAGGGCTGCGGTGTCATGATTGAACCAGTGACTCATTAGAGCTTCAGATCGAGCAGGATTGGGGCTCCCCGCTCCGGCTCAGGCGGCTGTCCTGCACTAGCCTCTCCACCCGCGCCGCAGGGCTCAGGACCCCGCAGCCCCGGGTGTTCGCCTGTGTTTGCTCCTGCTCAGTCGTCAGTTGAAAAACAAATTTATTTCTGTGTGTGCTCGTGCTGGAGGTGATGCTTTGCCCCAGATTTCAGTCAGTGGGTTGCCATTGGGGGGAGCAGGTAAACTTGAAGCCCGCCTTGTTATTTAGAATCTTCTCTATGAGACTAGTTGCTGGTCATGTCCTTGCAGGACGTCTCTTTGATAGTACTTGAAAAGGCGGTATGAAAGGTTAACTTTCACTTGAGAAGTTTTGTTCATTATCTTTACCGGGTTTTGTCAACAATTGCAAAGCTGCTTACAAAAAAGTTTACTCTGTTAAAAAGATCCTACACTTTAGTTTTGTGTATCGTGCATAATCGGCTTGTAGGAGATAACTCTTGTTTTGTCGCTTGTTTTATTGGCTTTTGAGTTTTTAATCGCAGAATGATATTACGGAAAAAATACTTAAGTGCTTCTCAAGAAATAATTTGTTGGTGTGCTTAGCCCCTCACTTGTGTCCGACTCTTTGTGACCCCATGAACAGTAGCCCACCAGGCTCCTCTGTCCGTGGGATTGTCCAGGCAAGAATACTGGAGTGGGTTGCCATTTCCTTCTCCAAATTTGTTGGTAAATGGCCCTTTAAGTTCCAAGATTAAGAGAGAAGAAATCAAAGACAGTAGTTTTGGTTCTCTGAGAGCTAGTTGTTGATGTGGTTTGGAGACAGTAGACTGAGATTCTACTTGTGCTTTTTGAAATGCTGTAAACAATAGTAAATGAGTACAAGAGGAAAAATGGAAGGTTATTGTCTATTAAATACTCTAAAGAGAAAGAAGATTTGAATGGTTCAGGGATGGATGCATTGTTTGGCAAGCTATTGCCCCTAGTAATGAGCCTGGCTGAACCTTAGAGACGTGGGAGGAGGATCCTTAGCTTGTCAAATAATGAGTGTATGGTAATGGATGTTGACAGACAGATTTACTACGCTGTGAAAGTTCCTATCGCATTATTTTACAGGAATTTCAAATGTTTGAATTGTAGCTTAAGCTGTAGGTTTACAGAAGACATGGCTGTTAACTCACATGCTGTACTTCTGTCTTTTGAACTGTAGTAACTAATTCAAGTGTGACTTGAGTAATATTACACTCACTTCATTTCACTAAACCCCAGATGAGTCTTTTATTTAATAGAAGGAAATCATCAACATTTCATGAAACTAGACTTGGGATTTGTAGCTTTTGCCACTGCTCCATGCATGTCCTATGATTACTTCTGAGCAAGCTATTTTCAACAAAAAATAATTTTGGAAAATGCAAATAAAAAAATTTCAAAAGGGGAGTGCTCAACCACACAAAAAAATTTAAAAGAAAATTTTTTTCAATCACTAATGTCACTGTTAATGTTCCACTGCCTTTTGCCATAATTTGTCATTTCTCTTGGAAAAAATCTGCAGTCAGTCAAGTGTTAGGAGGAAGCAAGCATTGAACAAACTCTTTTGAAAGATGGCACTACTCCCCCCCCACCCCACCGCCGCCCCCGCCAACATCCCAGCTCCTGGACCTAGGCTTTTGGCCTTCTGTGGAGGGAAGGCTGAGTCCTTGGTCTTGTTCTCTTATGTATTTCTTCTCTTTCCAGCACACACACAACTGAAATTATCTATATTCGGTTTACTCTTTGATTCTGACGATATATTGTCATTTCATATGCTTCATATCCTCTCCTTTCCAAATATGCCACATTGTAGATGTTTAAGCACAAATGTGGTTTACATTCAAGAATGATCATTGCTTTAATTTGCAGATGTATTTGCCCAGTTGTAAAAATATGGCAAATGTTTATGAAAAGGCATTAGAGGTTAGAGCACCTGAACTGGGGAGAGATTTACCATTGAGTGGGAAAAAGGTAGAAGCAAAGATAGCAAAAAACACGCTTAGTAGGTTTTACGTTTTTGTTTTCTGTCAGTGTTGTTTAAATGGAGCTAGGGCTCCAGATGCTGTGTCCTGAGTGTCTTGCCATGCTGCTGCTCAGAATGACTTCTGCAGTGTCTTTGAGTCCTCAGTCAACCTGGTGGGAGGGCTGCTTGTCTCCCTCCCCATGTACATATTAGATTCTCATTATTCATAGAGCTTATGTTCTATAACGTTGTCGTCAACAGTGATTTAGCAAATATGGAATCATTGTGCCTAGGGGAAATACAGTGTTAGGGTACCACAAGTCTCTGTTCACATTTTTGCTAGTCAGTCAATATAAACCTTGTTTTATGTGTGTTTCTGTTTCAAGACACCTTGTTTAGTATCTGTATTGTTCACTCATTAACATTGAATTCATGGCCGACAGTACTGTAGTTCGTGCCTAAATGAAGCTTAGCGAACACACAGATTTTCTCTGTAAGGGACATCATAGCCTTCTTGCTCTAAGGAATGCTAGGTGGACAACATTTTGGCACTAAACAACAGAATCATCAGTAAAAACCACAAAAACAAGAAAAACACGACTCGGTATAGACATTGAAAAGGGCCCTTGCTTCCAGCATGAGAGCTGAAAGAAGGCAGAGTGAGAGCTGAAAGAAGGCAGAGTAATACCTCATTGATGCCAGCTGGCCTACTCAAAATTTTTGCCACTGTGCAGTCTGCAAATGACTATGAAAGTGCCATTGTTTTGATTTTGGGATATTGTATTGATTTCAGGGATACAAATTTTAACAAGTAAGCAGATTTACAAATATAAAGTCAAATAATGAAGATCAGCTGTATATGAAGATACACGAGCACATATATGTTTTATATAGTCTATTATAATTTTAAAAACCTAGATTCTTAGGGGTATACTTATGTTGTGTGTTGGTGTAGTTTCCTTTCTGAAATGTTATACTTTCATATCATAATCTCTTTTTAGTTAAGAATATATGTGTTGGAAAATGCTGAGAACTTGCACCTTTTTAGTTCTTGCTAAAAGTTGAAACAACTGATATGACAGGCATTTTCATGGTTTTCCTCAAAAAACAGTTTTGTTTAGTTTCAGGAGTGCAAGTTCAGTTTTAGATTAGGCTGTAGAAATGAGCTAGAGCTATATGTAAATTTTAGCTTGAAACAGTATCAAATTGTCAAGCACATATAATTAAGTGTCACCTTCCAAGTTTTTACCAAAACAGAGGACCACTTTTGGATAACATGCCTTCAGTCTAGTCAGAAGAATTTAATGTTGATTGATAATGAAAGGGTGGGTTCTCCAGTAGGGGACTTTTCGCCTTAAATGTCTTTGGTAAAGAGTGGACTTAAATGGGGAGCAGCATAGAGGGCAGGACACCATCCATAATTTGTTGATATAATCTAACCATGAGGTTATGGGGCTGGATAGGAATGATATTTTGAATATGATTGGGTGCATAGGACTTTCTGACATGGGCATGGGGAGGTGGTGTTGGCACTGTCAGAAATTGGAAGAAAAAATTACTACAGATTTCTGTAAAAGTAGCTTGGTAACTTTCAGAGTTAACTGCTTGGAGTAAGGTGAATATAGCCTAGGTGCCAACTAATTCTCATTGTTAATTTTACAGAAAAGTAGTAAAGTACTTCTGATTTTGCAATATAAATCAGTAAGAAAAATATGTATTTACACATGATGTTTCATGTAGGAATTATCTGTAGCTACCCAGTAACATGTAAAAGTTCCTAAGAGATAAGAGAGACAGCAGAAGGGGAGGATTTAATGAAGATATCAGCAACTGTTCCTATTCCCTAACTATTTATGAAATGCCTTCTTTAAGAAAACACCAAGCTCTGTACTAGGAGAACAAAACAGATATTTCTTTGGCCTTACGGAGCTTACAGTCTAGTGTAGATGATAAAATCAGTCAGGTTAATGTAGTTAGCAGTTTAGATAATTGTTGTGACAAGAAAGCATAGGGTTTTATGAGCGAATAACTGATTCAGTTTATATTGGTGGATTAGGAAGCCCCCTCACTCCCCCCCCCCCTTTTTTTGAGGTTTTAGCAGAAATCTGAAGTTTGAGGAGGGTTAAGTAAAGGCAGAGGTGTGAAGGTGGGGGTGGTGTGGAGTATGTTATGAAGAGAGAAATTACTCTGTAGGGAAGAGTTTCAGAAACTGAAGTAAGTCCGGAGCCATCGACCGTAGTGAATGAATCATGTGAAAGAAGGACCAGGATGATTTTGGAGCAGAGACTAGGATCTAGGTCTTTGTGTGGCATGTTGGGCATTTAGATTTTATCTGAAAATGCGGTGGGAGGCCAGTGAAGGATTTAAATTTGGGCTGTGACATGCTCTGATTTGTGTTTTCATAAGATCATGGTGTTTGCCCTGTGGTGTTTGAGAGGTATACAAATTAGATGATTAGTTAAGAGGGTGGCAGTGGGGATGGAGCCTAATGTTACTAATGCTTGAATGGGAGGACCTGGTGTGGATTACATGGAGATGGGTGTTGTAGGAAGTGTGAAGAATGACTTGCTCATGCACCTCTTGGATGGAGCTCCTCTGAGACTGAGATGGGAAGAGTAGAGAAGGAACAGAATTTGGGGGCTGGGGTGGAGGTTGGAAGAATATCCAGTAATTCCGGACATGTTTAGTTGAGAAATCTGGGAGGAAATACTTGTCAAGT